GCCACGCATACAGAGGAGGCTCAATAGGTGGCAATTGCTATTGTTTTTGTTTATACACTAACTCAGTATTTTTAGACTTACTTGACCTTAAAACCCCTTTTTTACTTAATGCCTTATAATTTCCTAGTGCCATGGTCATTTACTCTGACATAGAAGATGGTTTGCTGTTACTTTAAGTTTAATTTTGCAAGTCATCCTTCATATAGGCACATTCCCATTTAGGAGTACCTTCCTGAACTATAGATACAGTGTCTCACGCAAAGCCCTCAGTCTCTACGGCTTTGTTAAAATGTAAGATGTACACCTCATTTCCAGAGAGTCCGATTCTTAGGTTGTGGAACTTCGGAATCTACATTTTTAGCAGATTCCCCATTTGCTGTTTAAGTATCTGTAAGCTATATTTCTGAGAAGCACTGCTGGAGAATTTGTTGGCTTAGAAAATTCTTAGTACATGATGGCAAATGTCACCAGTCTGTGCTGATGCAGATCAGTGTTTTGAGGGGCCACCGACTCCTCATTTTTTCCCAAGTGTTACTCCTTGTTTACTCCTTGATTCAGCGCATATTTACTGAGCAATTTGCATGTGCCAGGCATTGAGCTAGTTGCTAGGAAAATAAATGTAAAGATTGGATCCCTATTCTTATAAAGTGTCATGACAGCAAAGCAAAGAAATCCTGCCACACACGTAATTATTTTTTGGAGTCACCAAACTACAGCAAATCACCCAAAGGCCTCGGTGTGGAAAGCATTTAAGAAGTGCTCACTTGGAACATCATTCTACAGTTCATCTACAGTTGTTCAGGTTGTTTGGGTTTTGTTGTTTGTTGTTTTTCTGTTTATGTATTTTTGGCTCCCAAGGAGCTTGGAATGCTTTCTGTTGCTGGTTGTTGTTATTTAGCTAATCATCATAGCATTAAAAAGACAGCTTAACATTAAAAATTATCTATGCTTAGATGTCTAATTGTGAGGCTTGTTACAGCTTGTGAATGATGTCTGGTTGAGATGGGCTGGCCTGTTACTTTTCTGAAGGGCAGCCATGGGTGTGAATCTGGCCTGGGCTGAGTTGAGGAAGGACACCCCAAAACACTGTCCTTATTATTTTATTTCCTGAGATAAATGATGAAAGGTGGCAACGCCATTCCCTGAGCAGTGATTGCGGCAGCATGAGAAGAGGCTGGGCGGCTTGGCTTGTGTGAAACCAAAGCCAAAACTGATCAAGGAGAAACCTCCTGGGTGCTGGGAGGGGAAAGTGTCTTCTGCCTGTCTTTATCTCCGTGTAATATCCCCTACCCGTGAGAACAAGCAGATGCTGACCTAAGAGGCTTTCCGGCTGAACTGAGTAAAACCTGTATTTAAAGGCAGACTCCTACTTTTTCTCAGCTCTTAACGCTAGAACTTTTAATTGTCTTTCTTTATTTCTAGCCATGTCCCTGCTTTTAATTAATTGTGTATATAGCCAAGTGTATCTTTGACTTGAAAAAGGAGGTAACTTTTTCTACTATTGATTTCCTTCCTGTTTGATCCACTTTTCCCCTTAAGTTCTAGAAAGACTCCCAAAGCTGAAGACCTTGCAGCATTTTTTTTTTCTACTTCAACTTTGTTTCAAAGGCAAATAAGTCTCCTCTCCTACGTGAATCTGATGTTTTCAACTGAGTCAGTACTTTGGAGATTTGCAGGCTGTGTTTTGTGGACTGTGTTCCCTGACAGTGTAGGGTAACTCTCTTGAGAAGAGACTTAATAAGATTCATTTTAGAGGCCTATGAGAGATAAAAATAAGTTGCTGTTTTTTCAAATCTCTTTTCTGCTAATTGTAAGTTTAAGATATGGAGCTATAGATAGAAGGGCTTGTGGTTCTATGGCAAGGGATTTTATTCAGTTAAACATTTATTAAGCACCTATTATGTACCAATGTCTGTAATCATTGAGACCAGGAAGAATGGTACAGATTATCTAAATACTACTCAGTGCTCACAAGGATGTTGATTCAATAAGTCCAGTAGAATCAGTATAAATGGATTTGGTTACACTCCAGATTTGAAAGTTGCAGCTGGTAAAAGGGGTGCCAGGTAGGTGGGATAAGCTCAGTGTTTCATCCAGGGACTTTTGTTTACTAGCCATGCAACCCTGGGCGGGTTATTTCCCCTCTCTGACTCTCACTGAAGTAGTTGTAATAATGCTTCCTAGGACTGATGTGAGGAGTAAAGTAGATGGCACATAGGCACAGTGTCTGGCACAGGGTTGAACTGTTGCAGTCTGTATCATTATTGCCATCATCTGGCCCTTGTTATTCGGGGAAGCATGAGCAAATGAGTATAGTAGAACCCAAACAAACCCGAAGGCAATGGGAAAGTAAGTAAATTTAATTAAAAGAGCTGAGTGTAAGTGAAAAAGTAAATGGTTTTTCTTGTAGAACAGTGGGAAAGGAAACCGTCCCATCTTTAAATATATGGTTTGTAGTTCACCCATAAAGTACTTTGATTACACATGTGACCATGAATTGGTACGAATTTTTTTGAAGTACCTTTAACTCTGAGAATCAGAAGAGTTCCATATGTATGGTTAAAGAACAAAACTGTTTCGGTCCATCTCTTTGAGTTCTGTTATGTGACAGCAGTCAGTGAACCTCAGTCTGTTGCAATATGTGACACCCTTCTGTTTAGGCAGATAACACTATTTCGGAAAAGGGCTTCCTCCGCTGCGAAGCCCCAGGCAGCTTAAGGGGCTGATGGAGTAACAGTTAAAACATGGGCTCTGGTGCAGTTCCCCGTTAGGTTCTAGAAGAAAGAGCAGAGAGCAGGGCTGTCCTAGCAGCTTACTGCTCCATCCTGGCTTTTCATCAGCCCACCCCAGCTTGTCATCCCAGATGGTCACACCCTGGTGTCACTGCTGAGCAAGGGAGTTAACAAATGTTTTAATTTCACTGCTGAGCAGTTCTGCAGAGGAGGAGACAGCAGAGAGGATAATGAGAAGCACATCAGATGCCACCATTGATGAAAGCTTCTCTTCCCCACTGGCTCAAATGATAACTAGACAAATTGGATACTGAGAGAGGTGGATTTGGGCTATTCAGAGAGCTTCAGGTGAAAAAACTACTGGTCTGGACTAGCATGAGATGGCTATGTGCATTATTAGTTAAGATGCATAAAAGGAATAAAGGAAAGGCAAGATAAAGCAGAAGAAACATGTTAACAATGAGTGGGGTCTGTATTAGGGGTCTATTGATTTGTAACAAGTTACTCTAAGTTTAGCAGTTTAAAAGAACAAACATTTATTACATCACAATTTCTGGGGTCAGGAATCCAGGCATGCTTAGCTGAGTCCCTGGCTCAGCGTCCCTGGCAGCACTGCAGTTAAGGTATTGGCCAGAGCTGCAGATTTCTCGAGTCTCAGTTAGGGGACTGTCTCTTTCTAAGCTCGCTCACGTGGCTGTCGGCAGGCTTCAGAAGATCACGTCCAAGCTCATTCACTGACTGCTGGCTGGAGATATTTAGTTCCTTGCCACATGGGCCTCTCTGTAGGGCCACTCAAAACATGGCAGCTTGCATCCAGAGCAGAGACAGAGAGCACACATAGACAAGATGGAAGTCGTGGTGACCTGGAAGAGACATCCTATTACTTTTGCCATATTCTCTTCCTTAGAAGCACGTCATGAGGGTCAGCCCAAGGGCATGAATCCCTGGGATATTGGGAACCATTTTAGGGGCTACTTACCTCAGGTCCCTACTGTTGTCAGGGAAAAGGCATTCTAAACAGATTTTAGGTCACTAACAAAAACATGAAGATTGAATAAATGTGACCGAAGGGGATTAAGCATTCAGTGGATGTCATTACCCCATTTGTTTTATTATTTTTAAAATAGAGACAAGATGAGTTAACTTTAGGTTCATGGAAGTTATTTAATCCATTATAATGTCAGTGTGGATTACTAAACTGTGTTTTATCTAAGTTTACTTTGTAGATGACTAAAAATCATAGGAACCTTTTTTCCCCTCTTTAAGTTTAATTTAGCTTTATAAAGCCATTCTGTGATCAGGAAATAAGCTAAAGCAAAGCCAAGAAACAGAGAATCTAACTTATTTATAATTCCTGTTTATTTGGGAGGAGATGGGAAAGATAAAAATCTCTCTATACAAAAATTTTAAATGTATGATTGCCACCAGAATTTATAATAACTGTGTAGTTGAATTTTGCAACTGAACTCTGCATGTTCATGAAATCCTTCGTGCTGTGTATTTGGGATGTGGGGTTGTGTGTGTGTAGAAACTATAACTTTTTGCTTTCTAAAGACTTGTGAGATAACTTATTTAAATAGTATTAACACACAAGAAAAATTAAAGGTAGGCTGTAGTTTTGCCAAACAGAAATAAACAGACTTAGATGCATGAAATTAAGTTTTGGCTCTAGATTTTTTTCAAATTATTTCATGTCATTCATCATATTCAAATCACTTCAAATTATTTAATAAACTAGAAATATTAATCTTGCCCTCCAGTTGGCCTTCCTCCCATTTGTGTGAGAGATGCTATTTTTGTTGATTTTATCACTGGAGTTGCTGATGTTTTATACTCTAGCGGAGTCTAGATGGTGACATGTGGTGCTGAGACCTCTGAAGGATGAGGCACTTCTAGTAGAAACTGTGTGGCTCTAAACAGAAAGGATTAGAGAGCTGGTTTGCAGCATTATCTGTGTAAAGGTGATAATTAAAACTATATATGTGAGAGCTTTTCACAACAGAGAGAATAAAGGGGGGAAAAATGAGTTGAGACCGGTCTGAAGTATTGCCTATGGTTATGGATTTGGAAGGATTAGTGAGGAATGCTGAAAAGGAGTGGTCAGAAAGGTGAGTGCTTATCTAAAATGCCTCTGTATTGGGAAATGAGATTGTGACACAGAGGCAAAAGTAATGTTAGATACCACAGAAAAGCCAAGAAGCTGGGTGGCAATCAAATTTTGAGAATCTTACTTGCTGAATCTAAAGAGAGTGTGGTTCTTACGGCTAGTAATCTCTCTTTCTGGTTACTTGTGTTCCACAGGCCATAATGGGATGTCTTGAGGGTGAAGAAGGACATTCAGCATTCCAGAGAATCCTGAGTAAAGTAAGAGCTAAGAGCCTGGATGTTCAGACTGTTGTGTCCCTGTTGTGGCTGTACCAAGATTCTAATCCTGCGGTAAAGGCAGCTTTGCTGGGCAGAAAGCCGGAGGAGGTAGCAGCACTGCAGCCAAAAGGTAGGAGATTCTACGCACCTGAGCTGACTGAGTTTTATTCTGGGAAGAAGCTGTAAAGTTTGCTTCAGTGGTAAGTTTCTTCAGTGGCTTTGTTACTGTTAAGTGAATTTCACATAAACTCTACGTGTAATAACAGAAGCTGCATGTTAACTATACACGAATTAAATTTAAGTCTCTATTTCTAGCTTCTAGTTAACTAGTCTGACACCTTGAAGTTGGAGAATATCATCAATGCTCTCCTGCCTTTCAAAAAACCACACGTCCAAATCAATGTTACGAGTGCCCAGGGTGAACTGGTTGGCTGACAGCACTTAAAAGCTGAAGTCTCTCTCGTTTGGGTTAGGTACAAAGCAGTGGCCTTGCCAACCAGAACGTTAACCTCTGGCTGGCTCTGCAGCTTTTGTGTTTCGACAGATAAATGAAACATTTTTCCTTTCATAGAGTTTAAACGGAATAATAAAGTATTTTCCTCTCCAAAAAGAGATTCTGCATTTGGGTGCTCAAAATAGGCTGAGAATCACTTTCCTATTCTGTTAGATCTCTCTTGACAAACCATGCTGTCATTTTCTTCAAATTGACTAGCTTCTGTTGTGTGTCTCTAACTCTTTCTCCCCCAGGGAGCGCCAAGGAGGGAAAGACCTTGTCTGTTCTGTTGCTAGAACACAAAGAGGACCTGATCCGGTGTGTGACACAGCTGAGACCTATTGTGGAGTTCCTGGAGACCACCAAGGAGGAATTCCTGACTGGCCCTGAGAAACGGGTAACTGTGTTGAGCATCTCTTCCTCCCTTCTGATTTCATACAGCACTTTTTAAAGCCTCTTTGGTGGCACATAGCACTTTCTACCTTGCAGTAATTTTGTTGGTACTGCATAGTAAGCTCCTTGAAGCTCAGATTCTTGATTCATGCCTCTTTGCATCCCTTGCAGCAGCTTGGTGAGGGTCTTGCACATTGTAGTCATACATGAAATGCTCAGATATGGCGATGGGTGGATATTCCTGCTCTGATTCAATGAGTTTTTAACAAAAAATAGTTGCCTCAAGAGTTAACATCATTAGGTGCATTTGTAATTATTGTGATACTTTTCCTCTTTACATTAAGGACACACTGTTCGTCTGTAGAAAATTGGGGAAAACAAACAAGAAGACAAAAAAATTCAAATCTCCTGCCATCTCACCTCTCAGAGATGATGACTACCAACATTGTGGAGCATGTAGTCCTACTCTTTCTCATTTGGATCATCCTGGAATAGGGATGAACAGAATGTACAATTTTATGACTTGGGGTTTTTATTTGATACATTATGAATACATTTCCATCCCTATAATATGGATTTGGGGACTTATGTTGTATTCTGGCTGATGGACATACCATAACTCATTAATTCTTTATTGTTGGGCATTTGTTTCCAGTTTTTTCCTTTTTAAGTGATGTTGCAGAAAACATCCTTGCACACAATTTGCATAATTCTCAAATTATTCCCTCAGTATAATTTTTAGGAGATATAATTTTGGAATAGAGAGTATAAAAAATTTCAAGTGTTTGATATAATTGCCAAATTGCCCTTCAGGAAGGTTGTACCAATTTACTCTCTAGTAAAATCCTCATAAAACTGCTAGCATGACTTTTCAAGTCAACTAGATAACTGTATTTGTTGGTGTTACTGATTTCAAGTTTGTGCTAAAAATATTTTTATACCTGGAAGGAAGGAACAGGGACAGAGAACTTCTGTGGCATCAATTCCTGAAACTGGAATTGGCTGGGAAGTGGCTTAAATACTCAGGAGAAAAAATGTTTAGAAACCACTGGTATAATGGCTAAGCACTAGATGAGTAGTAAAGACTGGATCCTAGATTTTCTTTTTCTCAGTGATCTTATATTGCTATTTTTTCATAGAAAATGGGAACAATCTTTAATCTCAGAGTTGTATTTTGTAAGTTAATTATGTTTAAAATTTTTTTAATTCCTTTGACCTTCTTAAAGAAAGTTAATATACAAAGTCAGGTTAAACCCCTGCTTTTTTCTTAGATTTCAGATTATATGTAATGTCAGACACTCAGTTTAAGTAAGTTGCTTATAGCTCGAGAAGTACCTGATTCCCTGTCTACAGATTTCATTAGATTATTCATACCAACCTTTTCCTTATTAGCTAGATTGAATATGTCCCTTGAACTGTTTCATTATCTTGGTAAAACAAGGGAAGAGCCCAGACAGCTTCATTCTCTGCAGCAAGGCAAACCATGCTGTCATTTTCTTCTGTCACTTTCAGTTTACTGGACAGAAAGGGCTGAAGCAGAAGAACTTAAATTAGTTATAAATCACAACAACTTCTTTGGATTGGGGTTCAACCAGAACCTCATTAAGTTACTCCTTCTCACAAAAATTGAAGCAAAATAATACAGTGGGAGTGGAGAGGTGAATGCTGTTTAATAGCCGCAGCATCTGGGCGTCCTGTGGAGCACTCACCCAGGCCTGTAGAGCTGCTCCTCGTAGGCAGTGATGCTCATCCAGGCCCCGTGGTCCTGAGGTGTATATGCCTTGGATTCTACACCACATGGTAAGTAGGAATATCTTCACTTCAGGATTGGAAACAAATAGAAAAGTAGTAATTACTCCAGGTGCTTATTCTGTGCCGTGCAGCATGCTGAGGACCTGTCAGACTTTACTAAATTCTACCCTCAGAACAACTTTATGAATCCTGGACATTTATCCTGATTTTAAAGATGATGAAACAGACACTTAAGAATGCTAAGCAGCTCACCCAGAGACACCACTGCTTGGAGCCAGTACTGGAACTCAGACTTGTAAACAAAGAACGTTCCTTTAACCACTATATGCATAGTGCTTCCTAATAATATCAATGACCACCATTATTTAAAGATAACACATGTCCTAGAAGCTGTGTTAGGCTCTACAAGTAGCAACCTCATTTTATAGACTCTTCATAAACAACTGTGCAAGAGTTGATATTATTATTTTGCAGATGAGGAAAATAAGTTTCAAATAATTAAATAACTTGCCCAAGATCACACAGGCAGTAGATCTTGGAACGGGGGTTCAAACTAGATCTATCCTCTGGCTTTAAAGCCCATACCCATTCTTGACAGTATCTAGCAGCCTCATTATGTGTTAGGTATGATAGCACTGACATCAGTATGTTTTAAGTACAAGCTCTTAAATGTTAAAATATGATTCACTTAGTAGAAATCGAATATATTTTAGACTTTAAACAAAGAGAATGACTATGTTCTGTACTGACAGGGAATATGACAACAATTTATAATATGTACATTCCTTTCATATATATAATGTAGATATTCCTTTCATATTTATAAAATTAATTTGGTTTTAGAGCTGAATTCTTGACTTTCAGTGGGGGTTAATGTGATAATGGCAGTCCTCTGTCAGGCTAACGAGGCTGATCCGCCTCACTGTTTCTCTTGAGAGCTGGCAGTTTCCCAAAGGAAAGCTCAAAATTCAGTTCCTATTGAGTCTGTAGAGTGTATGTACTGAAGTAATCCCCTGCATTATCAGTTCTATCAGAGTCAAGTTATGCATAATGAGTCACAGTCCATTCAGAAATATTTCTTTTGTAATAGGGAAATATCTGTAAAATAACTGTACCATGTTTTGTTTTTTCAACCTTTTGCTGAACGTTTGCTGGTACCCTCTGGCCCAGAAAATCCTCTAGTACACCAAGAAAAAGGAATTGTGGGATGGAATGATGACTGGAGCAGATAATACATGGCCAGTGAGAAAGAGAGATGGATAAGAAAGAATCCACAAGAAAAATAATCCAGAAATGCACTTCACATTTGTTATTTTGGAGGCCACAGACTAATGTGTAAATTATCTGGGCATTCAAATTGCTGTGCAAATGTACAAGGAAGTAAAATAACAGAATTGCTCTGAAATTACAGGCTCTACCACTGCCGTATACTTTCTTGAACAGAGATTGATAAACACTATCACTGTATTACTTCATTGTCAGTCTGTTTCTCATGCATCACTGTATTAATTCATTGTTAGTCTGTTTCTCACGCTTAGTGTCTGAACAAAACAAATCTAA